CCCCCTCTTAGCTCAGTGCCTTGACCCACTTACTTCCCAGCTCCACCCTCTGCCAGGATATCCCTTCTCATCTACCAAGTCCCTTCAGAAAATATCTTCCATTGTCCAACCCATGATCTGACAGTTTGTATCTTAAGCTTTCTTGGCTTCTATAATTCCAAAAACGTCGACTGCTGACATTTTCCTTTTGACCAGTGTCTCTTGAGTTTAGTTGAGCTGTCTCCAAGGGAAGGTGACGTGTCCTGTAGACCTCCTGAGTGGATTATGTTTCCCTTTCTGGCCTGAGGGCCGCAGGCCCGAGGGCCCGCCGGAAATCCTGTGTACCTCTGGAAAACGCCTCTTCGTCTCTTATCTGGGCTGGTTTCCCTTCTGCCCGCTCTCAAGCCGCCCTTCCGCCCAGGAGCATGCCGGAAATCCTGGGTACCTCTGGAAAACGCCTCTTCGTCTCTTATCTGGGCTGGCTTCGCTTGTGCCCGCTCTCAAGCCGCCCTTCCACCCAGGAGCACACTGGAAATCCTGGGTACCTCTCTCTCTGGAAAACGCCTCTTCGTCTCTTATCTGGGCTGGCTTCCTTCTGCCCGCTCTCAAGCCGCCCTTCCGCCCAGGAGCACGCCGGAAATCCTGGGTACCTCTCTCTCTCTGGAAAACGCCTCTTCGTCTCTTATCTGGGATGGCTTCCCTTGTGCCTGCTCTCAAGCCGCCCTTCCGTGCAGGAGCATGCCAGAAATCCTGGGTACCTCTCTCTGGAAAACACCTCTTTGCCTCTTATCTGGGCTGGCTTCCCTTCTGCCCGCTCTCAAACCGTCCTTCCGCCCAGGAGCACGCCGGAAATCCTGGGTACCTCTCTCTGTCTCTCTCTCTCTGGAAAACGCCTCTTCGTCTCTTATCTGGGCTGGCTTCCCTTCTGCCCGCTCTCAAGCCACCCTTCCGCCCAGGGGCACGCCAGAAATCGTGGACATTTTATGTTATAAAAGTTAAAATTTCAAGAAATTGATTACTTAATTGTGATGCTTGTTGCTGTCATAGGAATAGGTTTTTTTTCTCACAAATTTGGCTATCCATTATGAAAGTGATACATGTGTGTGGAAAAGCAATAAGGCATCTTTTACACTTACTTGAAGGGTACAAGACTACTATTACTTCACTATGTGACCTGTGCCCTAAATAGTTGCTAATACTGCCACCTGCAGCCATGCAGGAGTTAGGTTCTGTAGCAGGGCCAACATGAAGACTTAAAAGTCTTAGGGTGACCACCATTTTAAATCTGAATTCAGAAGAGCTCATATATAACAATTCTACTTATATTTATTTGTGCATTCTATTTACCCACTTGATTGTTACAGGATTAATATTAATGCATAATCCAAGAGGCAAACATAGCAGAGTCTTTTGTGCGTGCTCTTCCCTGATAGTGTTTTGAAAAGCAAATTTTTACCCATTGCTTATTCACTTAATTTTGTAACATAAAGCTTAATAAATGCGAGTGTCTACAAAATTTTTTTAAAAGTCTTCAAAAAGACTCAAAGAACTTTCTTGAGTGAATTGCCTTCCCCATGCTTTTCCTGTTACAAAGTAGTTGCTTCTTAGTGTCTTTGTAGAGAAGGAAAGACTTTTGGTTTGGGTTCCCCCCCTCCTCTGGACAGAAGAGTTCTATTTACAGCTTGCTTAAGGAGCCTGGACAACTTCTCCCTCAGAGGTGCCAGAGATTTCTCAGAGAACTTGCCCAGTCAGTCACATGGTTAGTCCAGATTTCTCCTCAGCTTTAAGACTGTGGAGCCACTACCTTTAGGGATAAGCAAGGTTTCCTGCAGAGATCACAGATTTGGGGGATTGCCAGCCACAATGACAGACCGAAGCCCCTTTGAGACGGACATGCTCACTCTGACCCGCTATGTGATGGAAAAGGGGCGTCAGGCCAAAGGTACAGGAGAGCTGACCCAGCTACTCAACTCGATGCTGACAGCCATCAAAGCCATCTCCTCTGCAGTGCGGAAGGCTGGCCTGGCCAATCTGTGAGTCCTGGGGGTGGGGGACTTTGGGACCTGGCCTTGAAGTGATATAAGGACAAAATATAGTCATCATTATGGTCTCAAGCTCAGTAACTAGTGGCATCAAATGATTTATTGAATTCTCATGACCTAATTTGCACAGGGAAATTTTGTACAGAAAAACTGGAGCAAGGTGTTGTCATGGTGGAAGTTGATATTTTAAAAATCTTCTTTGCAGATGTAAACATTTTATTAGCATAACTTTTGCCAATATGTTACATAATAGATTTTATTTGGTTTATTCCAGCTCCTCGTAGCTCCATGTGTGTCAGAGTAGAACCTTGTTCCATTGAGTTTCAGTGGCTGATGTTTTTCAAAGTAGATCTTCAGGACCTTCTTCTAGATATCTCTGGGTGGGCATGAACCTACAACTTCTGCAGAATAGCAGAACATTTAACTGTTTGCCCAATCTAGGGACTTTACATCTATTTGGGACCAGGAATCATTCACAAAATCAAGATCTTCGCACAGTTAAGTCCTAAATATCTCTCTTGAAAGAAATCCGTTTCTGACTATTTTCCATATCTTCTCTGTGCTTCTTCTTCACATCTTCTCCATTTGGTGTCTAAGAAGTTAGCAAATACTTGTGTTGTTGTTAAGTGCCATCGAGTAATAGATGACTCATAGTGACCCTATGAATAAAAGACCTGAGTATAATTTTCATCGTTTCTCCAATTCCATAGAGTTTCCAGAGGCAAGCTATTTCAGAAGTGGATGCCACTTCTGCTTTCAAGCTTATTTTAGTCAGGGAGCTCCACCAAACACTGTCCACCATGAGTAACTATTATCACAGTTTATCTCTCTTACGCGTAACCCATGCACAGAGTGCATTACTTTTGTCTTCAGTTTCAGTCTGTAATAAAAAGATCAACTTTTGAGGGGGTGAGAAAGGGCAAGAACAGGTGGAGCTTTTTAGGGCAGTGAGGTTATTCAGTAGGATAATGTAAATGAGAACAAAAAATATTATAAATTTGTCAAATTTGTCCAAACCAAGAAATGGAAGAATAAATGGCTTAATATCAGGAAAGGTATACAATGGGATTGTATCCTTTCTCCATGCCTTCAATCTGTATGTTAAGCAAAGAATTTGAGAGGCTGGACTATATGAAAAAGAATGTGGCATTAGGATTGGAAGAAGACTCACAACTTCTGCTATGCAGATGACATGGCCTTGCTTCTGTAAGTGAGGAGGATTTAAAATGTTCGCTGTAGAATATCAAAGGCTACAGCCTTCAATATGGATATCATCTCAACATCAAAAGACAAAAATCTTCACCACTAGGCCAACAGGCGACATTATGGTAGATGGGGGAAAGATTGAAATTGCCGATAATTTCATTTTTCTTGGACAGGATTTAAGAAAACAAAAGATATGTTATATTAGGAAAATCTCTCAAAGTGCTAAAGGGCAAGAGTGTCAGTTAAACACTAAAGTATGCCTGAACAAATCCATGATATTTTCAGCTACTTTCTGTGCATGTGAAAGTTGAATAGTTAATAAGGATAGTAGAAGGAGAACTGATGCCTTTGTATTGTGGTGCTGGAGTTGGTGTTATCTGCCACTGACTTGACCATGACTCATAGCAACCTTCTGGATATTGGCTCTGAACTTTGCTCTATCCTGTGCCCTCCCTCCTCACCATCTCACACACTTGAGCTCAATATTATAGTCACTCTGTCAATCCATTTCAATGAGGGTCTTTTTCTTTTTCATAGCTTGATGCCTGACCCCTCTTGACAACATGCCCATATTATATGAAACACATTCACTATTCTTGCTTCTAAAAAAGAAAAACTGATCGCACTTTCTTCAAGACATATTTGTTCTCTTGGCTGTTGTTGTTATGTGCCGTTGAGTTGCTTGCAACTCATAGCGACCCTGTGTACAACAGCCCTAAGCTCTGCTCTGTCCTGTACCAATCGCACCGTCTGCGATACACCCATCCCGATTACCCCAGTCACTGAATCAATTCACCTCATAGGGGACCTTCCCCTTCTGTGCTGTCCCTCCACCCTACCAAGCATGATGTCCCTCTTCAAGGACCTGTCCCTCCTTGCAACATGTCCAAAGTATATTAGATGGAGCCTTAGAATCCTTGCCTCCAAGGAGCAGCCTGGTTTGACCCTTTCCAGGATGAATCTGTTTGTTTTCCTAGCAGTCTATGGTACCTTCAATACTCTTCTCCACTACCACAGCTCAAAGGCATTGTGCAGCTCTCTGATGCATAACAAGTGATAACAAAGACCATGGCCTGTATCGGACACACCCTAGTCTCCAAAAATACACCATTGCTCTTCAGTACTTTGGAGAGGTCCGTAACAGCAGACTTTCCCATGTTCTCTTGGCAGTCCAGGGAAAATTCAATACTCTTTTCCAAGACCACAAACAACTCAAAGTCCTCAATTCTTATATTATCTTTAATCTTTGTCCAAACTTCAGAGGCATAGCAAGTAATTAAAAAGAACATAGCTTGGATCAGGCACACTTTTTATTTAAATTAGTTTTGATGAAAATTTACAGAAACTTTAGATTTCCATTCATTCATTGTTGCACAGTTTCCTTCCTGTCCACCCCTCTCCCCTAGTTTGCTTTTCTCTTTGAAAAGTAAGAAAGAATTCTTTCATTGTTATACCGTCCCCCCACCCCTGCCAAGTCCACTCCACAATGCAGCTTTCAATCTGGGGATCAGGTACACTTTAGTCTTTAAAACGACATCATAGCTCTTTAGGACTCCGGAGATGTCCTTGTCAGCACATTTTTCCAAACCAGCACATCTTTTGATTTCTTGACCTCTGGGACAAAGGCGGTTGATTGTAGATCCAAGTAAAATGAAATCATGGGCAAATTAAATCTTTCCCCCTCTATCATAATATTGCCTGTTGGTCTGGAGGTGAATATTTGTATTTTCTTGATGTTGTGATGTGATCCATATATACAGCTGTAGTCCTTTATCTTCTACAGCAAGAACTTCAAAGTCCTACTCACTTTCTATGATCAAGGAGTGTCATTTGTATAACACAGGCTGTTGATGTTTTCCTCTAATTCTGATACCACATTCTTCTTCATAAAGTCCACCTCCTTGAACGATCTGTTTAGCATAGAGATGGAACTGTTGCTGATGTTCTTAGGTGCCATTGAGTTTAGTATGACACATAGAGACCCTACAAATGACAGATCTGAACCTTGTCCTATTCTATGCCATCCTCATACTTTCTGACACTAGAGCCCACTGTGTCAACCCACCTGGTTGATGGTGTCCCTCTTCTTCACTGACCTTCTTCTACCTTTCCAAGCCTCATGTCTCTCTCCAAGGAATAGCCCCACCTAACCTGAGGCAAAGCTTTATTATCTTTGCCTCTAAGAACACTCTGCCTGCACTTTCTCCAAGAGAGATTTATTTTGTTCTTTTTGCAGTTCATGAGATGTTCAGTGCTCAGGCTGAAAAAGTATGGGAAAAGGTTACATTTTTTTTTCCCATTTCGAACTATGCAGTGTTCCCTTGATCTGTTTGTACAACAGCCTGTTGGCCTAGGTATGGGTTTCACAAGAGCACAAGTAAATGTAATAGTATTTCCATTCCCCTCAATGTTAATAATAATTTATTCTGATACATAGAGTCAGATGCCTTTGGGTCCCCCCGCCCCAATTCCTTTGTATAGTCAATAAAGCACAAATTTACACTCTTCTGGTATTCTCTTTTTTCTACCAAAATCCATCTGACAACAGGAATGATATCCCTGGTGCCATAGACTCTTCTGAACCCAGCCTGAACTTCTGGCAGTTCTCTGTCAATATACTATTCTAGCCATGTTTTAATACTTTACAGCAAGATTTTTGCTTGCATTCATATTAATGATGTTGCTTGATAATTTTCACCTTCTACTGGATCATCTCTTTTGGGAATATAAATAAATATGGATTTCTTTGAGTCACTTGGCAAGGTAACTGTCCCCCACATTTCCTGGCACAACTTGGTGAACACATCCAGAGTTGCATCTGTTTGTTGGAATATGTCAGTTGGTATTCCATCAGTTCCAAGCGCTTTATGTCTTGATAATTTCTTCAGTGTAGCTTGAACAATTTTCCTTTATTATGGTTGATTCTTGATCATGTGCTACTTCCTGAAATGATCCCATGTCAGCCATTTCTTTCTGGTACAGTGACTCTGTGTATTACTTTCATCTTCTTTTCATGCTTCCTGAACCATTTAAGATTTTGCCCATAGCATCCTTCACTGCAACTTGAGGCTTGAATTTGTTCTTCAGTTCTGTCAGCTTGAGAAATCCAGAGTGAATTCTTCTCTTCATTTTCTGACTCCAGTTTACATTTTGTCATAATATTTTGTTTTGTCCTCTCAAACTGCCTTTTGAAATTTTCTGTTCAGTGTCTTCATTTTTTTCCCCACTTGGTTTTGGCTTCTCAATATTCTAGTGAAATTATTAGAGTCTCTTTCTGACATGCATTTTGCTATTTTTCCTCTTTTGTCTTTGTAATGACCTCCCTGCGCTCCCCCATGGATGATATCCTTGATGTCATCCCACAGTTCATTTGGTCTTCACTCAATACTATTCAATACTTTGAACCTGTTCTTGATATGGTTTTAAAGTCCAGATGGGATAAACTCAAGGTCTTATTTTGGTTCTTGCAGATTTGTTTTCATGTTCTTCAGCTTCAGTTTGAACTTGCCTATGAGTAATTGATGAGTAGTAGTTCCATAATCAGTATCTGGCCTGGTTTTCACAGCTGATACTGAGCTTCTCCAACATTTCTTTCAGGTGAGGTGACTTGAGGCTCATGTATAAAATCACCATTTATGATTTTTTTGTAATGTTGTTGTTGTTTTTGTTGATTACCTTTAAGTTGAGCACAACTCATAGCAACCCTAAGAACAAAAGTCCTGAAGCCCCTCTACAACTATGGACATTTATCAAAGTTTATCGAGTGTCCAGTGTGACTAGTGTCT